AGGGTTAGGGTTAGGGTTAGGGTTAGGGTTAGGGTTAGGGTTAGGGTTAGGGTTAGGGCTGTCTCTTATACACATCTAGATGTGTATAAGAGACAGGGAACGTACTAATTAATGTTCCCTTTCTTTTTTTTTAGAAAACCTGGACGTGAGACGAAGCTGAACGACCAGGATTCAAAAAAAAAAATGAACTATGGTAAGTTTATTTTTTTTTTATTTATTTTTTATTTTTACTTAAGAGAACGTAATTAACATTCCCTTTCTTTTTCTTTTAGAAAATCTGGACATGAAATGAAGCTAAACGACCAGGATTCAAAAAAATGAACGAACTATGATAAGTTCGTTTCTTTTTTTTTTTTCTTTTTACTTAAGGGAATGTAATTAATGTTCTCTTTTTTTTTTTAAGACAAGGACCAGATCTGAATCAGATTCGGATCAGATTCAAATGGGATTCAAATGGATTTGAGTCAGATTCAGATCAAATTGAACCAGATCTGATCGGATTCGGATCAGATCAGATTTATTAAAATAAAAATCAGATCAGATCAGATTTAAGCTGAATCTGGTCTGAATCGATCTGTTAAGAGCACTAATTTTAATTACACGATGGTCAGAACTATAATAGGAATTATTAACAATTGAAAATTCTGTAATATTATTGAAAAAGGTTAGTTGATCCAAATATATAATTAATAGTAGAAGGTATTTTGTTTTTATCTTCTGAAAAGAACATTGTAACCTGAGAAATCAGAATAATCACGTGAGCGGATGAATAAAAGACCAAATGCAACAAGGATAAATAGTTAACCGATGGATAAATAATTAGCTGAAAGATAAATAATTAACTGATAAAATAATATTTATAGTTTAGTCACGAGATAGTCATATGATAATATATCTTTATTTTCTTATTGTTCTTAAATTTTTATTAGTAGAAAAGTTAGAAATAGTAGAAATAATTTTCTTAAAAATGTATAAATATAGGTGTGATTTGTTAGGAATTCCGCAGTCAGTTTTTGACTCAAATTTAATAAAATAAATATTAATTATTAAAAGTTATTTTGAATATGCTCATTGTACGCTTGAGAATTAATTAATGTTATATTATTAAGTCCAGAAAAGTAAAGAAAGGGAAGTTATTATATGAAATATAATAAGAAGTTAGGAGAACTCTCGCAGTTTATATGAATAAGTAGTAATATTTGAAAGAATAAATATTACATGAAGAATAATATTTTGGGAATATTATGAATAAGTGGTAGTATTTGAAAGAATAAATACTACGAATATATGAGAAAAAAAGCGAGAAGTTAAGAGAAAAGTAAATCTAAACTAAGCGAAGTAATGAGAAATAAAGTTGTATGAGAAAGATGTGTTTATCCACAGGTGGCAGACGTGGGTGACAATTTGGTGCAATGCTTCTGAGAAAGGAAATGATCAATGATTAAAAGAAATGAAATATGATCATTCTGACTATCTTTATATAGTTAGGTACCTGCGTGGTATTCCTAGAGAATCTGGACTTGAGTATAAAAAGAAAAAAGTTATTAAGTGTACAATGAGAAATAAAAGAAGTACAAGTAGTGAAGGATAATTAAAGCATGTGTTACTTGTGATTAGGAGATTTATCAGGAAATTATAAAGTTTATTATAAAAAGTAAAAAAGTATATGTTAGTATGAAAAAAGACTAATATGAAATGAAAGAAAAATACATTAAATGATGTATAAACCTGATAAATAAGAAATAAAAAGTTGTTAATGATAAACCTAGAAACTACCATATTTCGATGTGAAGGTAGAGGTAAGTCTAGTATAGGTTATTGAAAGTAAAATAAGTAAAAGGAGATAATTCTATAAGAGTTATTGGAGTTAAGTTAGTCATAATAATTGATTATAGAAGAAAATAAGATCGTATCAAAATTTCATGGTAAGAAAGTAAATCTAATAAAAGAAATAATGCAAAAGTTGTGGGTGAACTATAAACCCAAGAGGTTGCGTGGGAACCTTACAAGAAAAACACTAGTGGTTATGTGTAGAGCTTTGAAAATGACTTGCATAAACTCGGATTTTTGACTTGCATAATTGTAAATTTTTGTTTAATTATATTCTAACTTAATAAATAGTACTTTAAAATTAAGGTTTTTGACTCGTGACTCAATTTAGCTCTACTTATTAGAAGCTCTAGTTATGTGGGAATCTTTAAAACACTATAAGATTATAAGTTGTGGGTTAAGGTTAGGGTTA